CCCCAAAACCCCAAAACCCCAAAACCCCTAGATAAAATTTAAAGCTTGAATAAAATCTCAGATATAGTTATAATTATGAAAAGAAATATTCTTACAAGCTTTGGTTGATTATTTATTGTTTTGATTACACTCGGAAGTAAGTTTCATAAAGCTAATACCAATGTAGGCACTGAGGCTCAGAACAGCCAATGCTTCTCTGAAGTCCTTGCAAGCCCAGAATTGCTACTTCCGATGATCATGGCTACAGGGAAAGGTCTCAATGATATGGGTGATTTTGATGCTTGTAGTCTAAACCCAGGTACTGAATATGCCCTAATTTATATCCCAGGACAGCCTTTCTTCCTGGGAACATGAATGCCTGCCTCATGCAACAGGCAAGATCTCCAGATTCTGGCTGATGGGATGTCGTTCCTTATCCACCAAATAGGAATGCCTCCTTCAGTTGTTGGGGACGTTCATATTCCAAACAAAGATCCTATCACAGTCTCTGGCTGGCAAATCGTCGGGTTTATAGGATTCGGATTTATTGCTATTTTATTGATATTAGGACTACTGGTAGAATACACCCCATTGATGGGACAAGTCCAAGAGACAGATGAACTCCTCTCTGAAGCCAAAAAGGATAAGATGCTGGTTGCTTCGAAGTCTATGCTTGGAAAATCCTTGTTAGCATTTTCTCCATCAAGGAATCTCAAAAAGATGTTTTACACTCCTCAAATAGATGATGACTGTTTGACAGTATTGAATGGGATTAGAGTTATTAGTCTCTACTTCGTTATTTTAGGACACACTAATACATTGATGATGATGGGTGGGATCACAAACCTTCTATCCGCTCAATCTCTAGTCAGCTCTTGGTGGATCATTTTAATATGTATCGGATTTTACTCAGTTGATGTTTTCTTTTTCATTTCTGCGTTCTTGGCCACATACCTTATGATTAGCAAATTTCATGGAAAGAGGTTGTTCAACATCCCAATGGTGTACCTACACAGGCTGATCAGAGTACTTCCAACTGTGCTTTTGGTGTTTGCTATGTACTTCACATTCTTGCCATTCATAGGGTCAGGACCTATATGGAAGCCATCTATCGAAAGCGATATGAATAATTGTAAGTTGAGTTGGTGGCCCAATGTCATCTTCATTTCTTCATGGTATACTAGAGCTGAATGCTTCGGGCACCTCTGGTATCTATCTAATGACATGACTTTCTTCTTATTTGTTCCTTTGGTTGTTCTTGCATACCTGAACTCCAAGTTTATAGGCTACTTACTTGTCATTTTCCTGAACATTTTCGGTATAGTTCTTCCTTTTATATTTTCTCACATCAGAGGGCACACGATCACCATGCTTAAAGACCAAGACGTTGACTCTAACATCGAGTTGAACCAACACCCATACAACAGGAGTGGTTCCTACTCTGTCGGAATGCTATTCGGGTTGTTATACTTTGAGTGGGCTAAATCCAAGACAGATCCTACCTATCAGCATTCTATCGGTACTAGGTTTTATAACCTATTCAGTAACAGCTCAATTTTGTGCTTCCTCTCATTTGTGTTATCCTCTTGCGCGATTCTCTTCTTTATTATGTTCCCAGCTGTTGAACTGCTCCATCCAGGTCCCAGAAGAATCAGCCAGATACCTAGTGATTTTTTCAATGCATTTCACAGATCAATTTTCGCGACTGCTCTTGGATTGTTTCTGGCTCCAATCTTTGTCGGAAAACTCTCTTTAATCAAGGATATATTTGGAGGAAAATTATGGGCTCCTTGGGCAAAAGTTTCTTTCGTATCATACCTCATTCACATCCACGTCATGGCTTCCTTCTACTTGCAATCAAAAGGCTCATTATATTTCGATGGTCCATCCCAGATCTTCTACTCACTTGCTGCCCTCCTAATTGTACTCCTCGTAAGCGTCCCTGTTGCTCTCATCATCGAGTCTCCAGTCCTCCAGCTTGAAAGACTAGTGTTATTCCCTCCAAAGCAGAGCCCACCCCCTCTCCAGCAAGAAGTCCTGCTCAAGAAGCAAACTAAAATCAACAAGTCAGATTCCTCTCAGGATTCCAATGATGCCTAAAATTTTGTGCGTAAAACCTTATTCTCAACCGACAATTTCTTTTTAGGGGTTTTGGGGTTTTGGGGTTTTGGGGTTTTGGGG